TGACCTAAAGACTGAACTATCGCATTTTGTAAATTTAACTTTTGTTAATTAAATACATAAATAATATAGGTATAATAGGTATAGTTAGTATAAAAAAACTTCAAGTCTGATCAAAAAGTCTTTACTGTGGAATTTGAAAGCCTTGGACAATAGTAATAAGATCTCTTGAGTCTAGTGACTCAAGAGAATTTGTCTCTTGGGTCACCAAATGTCCCTAATTTTAAAAGTGGTTTTACTGTGTTATTTCCTCTTGGACATGCTTAATTATAAGTTTTTCTTTACGGTTAGCTAAATTAATTTGATTATATTAAGTTTAACATAAAATTATCTATATAAAAACACTCGAGTACAAAATACTCAAAAGTAAAAAAAATAATAATTGTATTGGTTACCCAAGAGACCATGTTCATGACTTTTTTTATAAAAGTATTCTAGCTTTACCCGAATTTATATTTGCGTAAAGTTACTACTGCTATATTGTATTGATTACATTAAAAAATTAATTTAAAAATTGCATTTTCATTAACATAATTATCATCTAATCATTGGTTACCCAGGGGATGTAAGATGAGCTATATCACCCTATTTTATGCTAAAACATTATGTTTCATACGTTGCTGGTCGCGCCACAGGTTGTATTTGTAAACTAGGTTGTATTAGTTACTACCCTATGCAAAAATCAAAGTGAAATTAGAATTCTTAATTATTTTTAGTTTTTGAATCACATGTACAAAAAAAAGTTGATTGACCCATATATCAATAACAATGGTCAAGGTTCATGTCTAAATCAATTACATACAAATAAAATTTAGGTTATTTCCATTCTATTATATAGTTATTTGTATTCTAATATAGTTTAAATTTAGGAATATAATTTAAATTTATATTAATTTTATAATATTTGTTATATAAACAATTTTTCATCGAAGTCACAAGAATTAAAAAAATTTAAATAGTAATTATTGCAAGGTGAAAAATAGATGGCTGAGCAAAGAAGAAAACAATACTATAGCAGGGAGGAGGGCACGCATTACACGGCTGCCCATGGGAACGCTGTTACTGATCACAACCATGCATAAACGCTTCAATGGACAGCAGTGCGCACGCGCACTGACCCCGACCTTTACAGCAGTCTCTGCACTTACCTCCTATTCCAAAGATTGATAGATAAGGCTCGTCCCACACGGGAGATGTAATTTAAAAATGGTTGAGCAATAAATATTTCAATTCAGTTCCAAATTTCGTATCAACAAAAGCCCTTAATGTATGTATATCCTTACTTAACCATAAAATGTTGAAGTTTTCGGAAATGTATGTTAATGAAGGACATTTTTACCGGTTACAAGACATTCCATGTTAGTCCTCAAGGATGACAACGCATCTGCATTTTGATTCTTGATACAGGATAGATATAGATAAATGTCTATGGGTCACAGCGTCCACAATCCACATACCATCAGGTGGTCTATGGGTTTGTTTGTCACCTTAATTCTATATATAAAAACTTTCAAATATACTTCAAATGACTCGTTTCTTGAAAAAAATATCCCACTTTCCTTCCTTTCCCATTTTACTTGTGACGTACGTAGTGAGTTACAGCCTATATGCGCCCTACAACTGGACACAGGTTTCCTTACATCACTAAGAGGGTTATTGAGCAATTAGTCCGCCGCACTGCTCCAGTACGTGTTCGCAGACTTTACATGTTTCCCGACGATGTTTTCCTTCAACACGAAGCACGTGGTAAATCAGCACTTAAAATTGCAATTTTGCTTAATGCCGCCGGGAATAGAACTTTGTTTACTCGCGTACTGTATGTATATTTAAAGCGACCGCTTAAGCCCTGAGCTACCACGACTATTACTCGAAATAATATGTTAACTGCGTTTAATTTTTGAAACCTACACTTTCAAAGCATTCAAAACTCAAGTTAGTATATAATTGCGGATCGATCACTTCTGGAGAAATGAAGTCATTGAATGGGTATATCTAGTTTGAAACTGATAGTAACGAACTTAGTGTAATTTATGAATGTGTTAGGTATTGTCCTCAAGTGAGTTACATGTCATTATTGAGAATAAAGTTTCTTTAAACCTAAACCTGAACTTAATTTAAACGTAGTTATGACTGTTCACTTTGTACACTTTAGCGCACATTTTTATAATTGTGTACTAGCTGATACCCGCTCGCTTCGTTGGGCGCACAATAATATTTTATTGAAAAAAATCAAGAATTTTGTTTTGATGGGACATCCTAAAATCCGTTCTTAGTGAGGGTCTACATTGTGAAATGAGTAACTACATATACTATATTTCAAGTTACATAAGATTGTTTGTAATTTTACTTAATACATAATCATTACTTACTGTAAACATTGATGCAATATACTAATTTGTTGATTTTACTATCTTTTTTTTATATGACAGGGTGACAAACGAGCACACAGCCCACCTGATAGTAAGTGGTTACTGTGACCCATAGACATCCACATCTATCCTCAATAAAGAATTAAAATGCAGATGCGTTGTCAGCCGTGAGGACTAAGATGGAATGCCTCTTTTCCAATAAAAAGGGTCTCCGGTTCTCTACTCAGCATACAAAACACAGCAGTGTTAAGCTGCTATTTTACGCTGGTATTCTGTGAGAGCGTGGTCCTTTCCCGGTCGAGGCGACCCATTCGTGCTACAACTACACTACTGATATGGCTGTAGCATGGCTCTACTACGCGTATAATCGAATCTGCATAGGAATTAAGAATTTTATATTGCCTACATGGAATTACTTTTTTCTTCTGAACAGTTTTCCTCTGTCGCCTGCCTCTTTACGACACCTCTACGACACCACTCTTTACGATACGGGCAGTGGACATTCTTATCTTTCCATTAGATAGGAGTGACGACATTCAACACAGGTAGACGAAATACAAGTAGATCATATTAGAAAGCGGTCGTAGACGAAATAGTCCATCAAAAAACAGAATTTAAAAGAATTTATAACAATTACAATAAAAACAACAAACTGCTGGAGAATGCACAAAACGGAAAAGTAAAAAACAAACATATTATTATTTACTATGTGTGATTGTTTGAAGTATATTATTAGGATATAAAAGAAAAATACATTACATCTCATCAATACGCTTTGTAACAAGCCTTAAGCTGTATAGAACATTTAAGATCTAGATCTTAAGTTCCTTCGTTCTCCCTAATTCTAAAATAGAGAGTACCTATAATTATTTTAGAATAACAATTTGTATCACAAGATGAAAAAGGTGACAATCATTACCAACATATCAAAGAATATGTTTGTAAAGATACAGGTTACAGATACATATACAAGTAAGCAATTATGCATCTGTAGTAAAGCGCGCGAAAAAATCTCACGTGTCGTATGGTCTTTGTCGCACGGGAAGAAGCAAGGCGCGATGGAGTGAGACAAGTACAAGGGATACTGTAACCCGCCCCCTAGCAACAGCTGTACTGCGAATTCTGCATTCCAAAGTACAACCATAGTTTTGTTTTGGGTACATTATGTATATTTTATGGTACGATTTAAACAGTATGATATCAGACATCACATTCGTTTATAAGTACTATCATAAAAGTATGCTTTATAGTATTTTTTTTTTAATATAAAATAGAATAATAAAGTGAGTTTATTGATTATTGATCATTGTAATCTGTTGCGTGGATGTACATTTTTAAGAGGTCGAAGGTCACATTTAAATCCATTATGTGACAACATTTTAAGTGTCTGCAACATTCATAAACAGCTTTTAATTTAAAACTAATAACATATATGTAAGATATATTTATTCGTGTATTTATGGAGTTATTCCATATTCTCGTAATTGGAGATAAAAAGGCGCGATGAAAAGATTACAAATATCGTTTGGCAAACAACTTGGGAATATTATGTGTGAATGAAATCATGTGAGATTTGTTAATGTTTTCGTTGGTGCAGTTGGTTAAAAAGTGTTGCAAGTGCGAGAGCGCAAAGAGCGGAGTGTATTGAACTCGGCGCAATGTCAGCCTAGGAGTCCGATGCGTCACCGATTCCGTTCGGCCGATGCGAATGGGAGAATTCCACGCGACAAAAGGCGCAGTGTCCGCAAACGATGCATAAATAATTAGACAATATGCAAGCACGGCCAGAAATCAGTAATTTGTATCGCGAAGATAGGCGGAGCGGTGAGGGAGATGGTTGCAGGAGGCGCGCGCCGCCGCGCCGCAGCGCGGAGATATAGCTACGCGTCAGGTGGAAATGGCGCCGAGTTGCTCTCCGCCGAGGACAACCGAGCGCCCCCACCCGTCCTCTCAAACCCCCTCCTCACTCCACCAACTCACCCGCCGCTAATCCTCACCCGAATACAATCTGATAAAATTCGCGCCAGCTATAAACGTTACGCAAAGCGACTCCACAATACAACACGGCGATAATGAATGACCCGACCGCGTCTAAATACCCAAACATTCTTACAATCACATTATATCGCAGTATAGAGCCGAGTACGGCCGTAAGAATGTAAGTAATAAGAAAGTTATTTCCTCGACCTGGCAAAACTAGTCTTGCGAACGCATTACGTTACGGCCAGGTGAATTCAAAATGACCTCTATGGGCCGGTGGCTTCTAGTGGCCTCGCTTGCCGAATATGATAATATTTAGTGAGTTAGCAACGCAACATGACTCCTCTGTTTGGAGTACGATGCCAGGATGACTAACGGCTGAGCGTCATTAACCGACCATGGATTTATTGTGCCGTATAAAAAATATAAGGCGATAGATCGATTCCATACCCATATTACATTAAGGTGATTTTTGTATATCAACGTACGTTGACGATAACTAAACCGTTTGGATAACGTGGAATCAATAAAAACCACATAAAGTTCAACATGACGTAGTAAAACAATAAAACGCAGCAATATTATCATGATAATCACAATGATTTCGAAAGAAAAGTACCTACGACTTCTTTCATCAATGTAAAAGTGACTTACCAAGGCGAAGAAGTTTGTGTGGCAATCCTCGAGGCTAGCACCGTTTGTTTGGTGGTTTTGATGCGTCATGGTAGTCCAGGGCACTTCATTTTCATTTCACAACACTAAAAACAGGTTCAATCTTAAAGAAACCACTCAAAATCTTAAAATCATCACCGACATTTAGTGAAGTTTTCACCTTTCAATGGCGACTGGAAAATGGCGGATAGGAAACAACAACCCAAGCCGATGGTGCTGCCAGTAGCGGTAGGAATATGTACTAACTTTGTCATTTTTTTTAACTGGCTTTACGGCTCTGGGTTCTAGCCCTTCTGAGCCTTAATTTTGTCCAGAAACATTCAAACGTTCCGTTTTTATGCTTTTGACTTGGGATCATTAAAATATTTTGTAATTAAATAGTTTATCTCTCAGTCAGTTTATATCATATAACAATAATAACTAAAGTCACTTGACGGTAATAGATAGATATATTGGTTTTTAAACAAAACAAGATTCAAGTTTAAAAAATATTTTAATAGAAATAACTAAAATTTGTTCAACGTGATATGAAACAATCGAAAATTTGACATTTAAAACGTCAGTATTGTTTTGCGGTGTATTTCGCTATATTTTTAATAATATTACGCCTTTAATTATCTTATCCTATTTATGTATGTATTAATAGTAATAAAAACATTTTACCACAATGCTTAAAAATGTGTTGTTCACTTTACCACGCGCGAATTTTCAGGTTATATTTATATTTGATCATGTAACATTCCAATTTTCTTTACAAAACAATTCTCATCTTTAATTTATTTCCTTTCAGATAAACATTATAAGACACGCTCAGAAACGCTACCCGAAAATTGACAAAAAATTACAGGCTGCTGCTGAATCTCTAGCTGCGAGAGGGTATGTTTTGAGATAATATGCTGGTCAAATTACCTTTCTTTAAAAGGTTTTAAGCTATATACGGTTAACAACACAGTCTGTTTTAAAAAGAATAGGATAAATTATTGTTACTGATTATCATTATCGACATTGCAACCCATCACAAGTCAACTGCTGAACATAGGCTTTCCCTTATCATTGAATCAAATGGAGTCATCCTGCACTGAGTTTGCTGCTAAAGCTTCGGTCACACACAGCGAATATTCGCTGCGAATATTACTGGTCACACAGCAAGTACTACACGAGAATTATCTATAATATGTATCTTTTATATTCTTAAATTTTCTTTTCAATTGCTCTTGGGTTGCTACTTCGAATCCCAACTCAATTAATTCGTCAAGCAATGAAGCCACCTGTGTGATTTTTTAAATTACTGTTACTTGTGTCAAACAGCTCCCTATTTTTTCTATACACACCCAAGAAACAAATTATATCGTAATTTCCCCATTTTAGAGAATTGTTTATCAGTTAACTCATTTTGTTGCCCCACACACACATATCATGTAACAATGAAACAACCTATGTAAAGGCATGTAGTCTGGAGCGGAATGGCTATTCGTAGCCAGTACCCTGTCACACACCGCAAATTCTCGGAGCGAGTGCTCATTTACTGAGAGTAAAATTGAACATGTTCAGTTCAATTTACAATGAATTTAACTCGCGCGAATAACTTGTCACACATAGCAAATTCTCGCAGCAAGTATTCACTATGTGTGACCGAGGCTTAAAAATTTGCCATTTGAGGAAAACATTTTTGAAAGATAAATATTGGTAGCAATGTATACAATTATTTAATATAATCTGCAAAAAGAAACTACTTATTAAATTATTAAGTGATGGGATTAGCATTTTTAGAAAATGATAAAAGGGCCAGTTATTAAAATTTATATTTATAAAAATATTTTAGTCAAATAAAGTTAATTGTAAATAATAATACATAGGCTGCACTGAAAGTATTGGGAATGGAATATTTCCACTGTTCCTGTCATATTAAAATCTTTTTAATTGAAAAGTCCTTGGTTGTTTAAAATTGAATACCATTTATTTATTTAAAAAAAGATTCTCTGTCTTGTCACAAGGTTTTGTCAAACTTGTTTAGTCGTTGAGAAAATGTAATTGACTCGAGAAAATTCAAGAGCGATGATTTATTATGACTTTTGAAGTGGTTTAACACAAAAACAGTGTGTTGACCGGATGATTTCTGCATTTGGTGATGAAGCCCATCCAAAACCACAATTTATCGCTGGTTTGCTGAATTTCAACGTGGATGTGTCAAGCTCAGTGATGATCCCCGTCAAGGTCGTCCAAAAACTGCATTCACCCAAGAAAACGTTGATGCTGTGCGTAAGCTGATTGAGGAAGATCGACATGTGACATACCGCGAAATTCAGGCAACTTTAGACATTGGCATGAGTCAAATACAAATAATCTTGCATGAACAATTAGGTGTAAAAAAGTTGTTTTCTCTATGGATACCGCATTCGCTCTGTGAAGAGCAAAAAGCGGCTCGCGTTACTTGGTGCATCAGAACTCTCGAAAGATTCCACGCAGGATCCTCAAATGCTGTATACAACATCGTATCAGGTGACGAATCCTGGATATACGCGTACGAACCCGAAACAAAAAACCAGTCACAAGTTTGGCAGTTCGAAAATGAGTTAAAGCCAACAAAAATTGTTCGTTCACGGAGTGTTGCAAAAAAAATGGTGGCCACGTTTGTCTCCAAAACCGGCCATGTTACGACTATCCCTCTTGAGGGACAAAGTACGCTAGCATTTGTTTGCCACAGGTCGTTTCTGAACTCCGTAAAGAGAACTGCAACCGCCGCATCATCCTCCATTACGGCAATGCGAGTTCTCACACCGCACACAGAACAAAAGAGTTTTTAGAGGAAGAAAACATAGAATTATTAGACCATCCACCATACAACCCCGACTTAAGCCCTAATGATTTCTATACTTTTCCTAAAATAAAGAATATATTGCGTGGACAGAGATTTTCATCACCTGATGAAGCTGTGTCCACCTACAAAACGGCCATTTTGGAGACCCCAACATCCGAATGGAATGGCTGCTTCAATGATTGATTCTATCGTATGGAAAAATTTGTCAAATTTTGCGGAGAATACTTCGAAAAGCAATAAATACATTTTTAAATAATAATGTTGTGTCACTTTCTTGATTCTCGAAATTTTCAGTGCCACCCTCGTAATAATAATAAGATTACTGAGAAATTACTATAATACAATTTTTATATTCAACCCTGTGCTCAATGTTCATTGTAAATGGTGCTTCAATTATTGGCATACTAATTTTTTTGCATGAAGCTAATCTTAATTCTCAAAATATGTAAGAAATTTAAAATCAAATTAATAAAAATACCAAAAAAATTTTCAGATTTCTTCGACCGAATAAGCCTTGGGAACCGCCATCCAACATAAATGAAACAATCCTTAAAATTTGTGCTGACCATGGCTTGAATCTTGATTCAGATTTTGAAAATCTGGAAGTGAAATTCAAAGTTTTGAAAGCTTGTTTTGAAGAAACTGGCCATGGCATACCAAATTCCTTATTGCATACAATTGAATGTGTTGGTAAGTCTACAATAACATTTTCTTCTTTCTTTTCACAACACATGATGCAGACCACCAAGAGATTAAAAGTGGCCTGCTCATGGACATCTGCACCTAAACCCAAGTAAAGTAAGCTATAAAAATTTTACATCTTGTCCAGTTTTCCTAATATCTTAAAAACAATAATCAATCAAATGTGACTAATTGAACAGAGATATGCTCATATATTATTTGTATGGTGAAATTTCTCAGTGAGATGTGTGTCAGAGAGTGTGGGGGCACTAGGATTTTCTCCTGTGTCGTGGAGGCAGTTTACAAACATAAATTGCACAAGGACAAACATCCAGACCCGGAACAATTATTTGTAGGCCATACAAATACTTGTTCCGTGCGGGATTCGAACCCGCGGCCCCCAGCGCAACAACTGATTGCTAAGCCTCTGTGCCTTGGAATTAATTTATTAGCTGATGTGTCAATCACTTTATACGGAGTATTTTGCACAAAACATGACTGACGGTAGTGTAAGTGTGAGAGAGAGTGTAGGACGCAGGAGTATCTGGAATGGGGCTCTTCATTTTACATATTGTGGGAAATGAGAATGTGTCTAAAGAGACATGTAAGGCAGTTCACAATGTTATGTTAGTCCCTACCTTAATGGATGGTACTGAAGGCTGGATGTGGCAGAAGATGCATGAGAGTAGAATTAATGTTGCAGAAACGTGGTCATTAAGAAGTATGTTAGGGGTGACTCTGATAGGGTGAGGAATTGTGTGATACAAATTAAACCCTTAACCAACCAGCATATGGATGTGATGGAAGTGAGAGGGGTGTATCAGGATCTTGCCAAATGCAGTTTCAGTTTCTGCCTACCCCTCTGGAAAACAGGTTTGAGAGTGTATGTATGTATTATGTATTTAATCATATCTAATTCCATTATTAATGGTTACAGAGGATCTTCAAAATTTCTATGAAACTCCTGTTGATGTTCTAACTCCATTTGATGCCTTGAAGAAGATGGAATTACCCAAGAACTTGCATGTACAAGAAGATTATGTGCGATTTCATCCTGGTAATTTTATCATATGTTACTTCTTTTCCTCATATATTCCAAAAACCTTGATATCAGACTAGACTGTGTTATACAAAGAATGTGTGAAGTATGACTAATGGCTAGTTTCTGTTCTCAATAAATTGCTATTTTCAACTTCAAACGTCCAAAAGGTTGTTTAAAAAATAATATACTATAAAAATATTCATTCAACAAGAATTATGAATGGTGCAAAGTTTTTTTTTAGAATAAGAGTGATAAATGAGTGCACAGTCCATATGATGGTAAGTGGATATTGTAATGAATAGAATAATTAATTAATAATTAATCAATCTGTTAAAAATCTAACATAATAATAAATGAAGAGATGCCATGAGGACTAATAAAGAATGCCTTCTTTACACTCACCATGTGAAACACAGCATCATTAATCTGCTATTTTACGCTAGTATAGTAAGAGCGTGGTCCTTCCCCGGTCAAGCTGACTTATTAGTGCTGCAACCATAATATAGCTGCAGCGTGTATCTAAGACTATAAGTCGGTTTTTACATGGACTTCATAGATAATAAAATGGATTGTAAAGAAGAACCCAATATTTTTCAATCATAGCCCTGATCTTCATATGGAAAAGTGCTTGTATGTTAATTCATAACATGAGGCACTATTGTAAAAAGTTTTGAAGTGCCACGGCTGGGCGCTGACCTCTTCTTATTATTCAGAGAGCGAGAAGAGTCCAAGTGGTTCTCCAATGCTATTTATCGTTTGTATATGCTCCGGAAATATATTTCATTTTTAGGACCTGCAAGTTTTCACACGATTTGTATCTATCGTTAACGAGGGTAACATCCTGAGCGGTAAATGAGAACCTAAAAATACAAATTGCAATTTCAGTACTGCAAACGCTGGAATGAAAATATTTTATAGTGATATTAAATGATATATATAAATAGGTTTTAAATTTTTATGCTAATTTTTTTTTAAAAATTCTTCTTTTTTGAAAAACGTTACCCCCACACTAAGATTTTCTCCTGTATCGTGGAGGCAGTTTACAAACATAAATTGCACAAGGACAAACTTCCAGACCCGGAAAAATTATTTGTAGACCATACAAATACTTGTTCCGTGCGGGATTCGAACCCGCGGCCCCCAGCGCAACAACTGATTGCTAAGCCACTGCGCCACGGAGCCGTCATTGAAAATTCCTAACTAGAGTAAGAGAAGTAGTTGTGAAAATTACAGACCACAATATCAAACTTTTATAATAGATTCATTACATAGTTTTATTATTTTTTACTAACCAATATTTATTTATGTTCACAGACAAAGACACATTGTTTAATGGGCAGTCAGCTTTCCCAAAAAGTTCCACGATTGTGACTGGTTTGAAAACCAGAAGAAAGTACGAAGGTTATTCCGCAAAGAGATCCTGGCCGTGAATGAATGAAAATTTAAAGATAAATGTAGATATTTTAAAAGTAATTTATAAAATAGATTTTGAATTGTATTAGCTGTTTTCTTTTCCTTTCTACCAATATCATTCCATTTAATTCGAAAAACATGACCAATGTTTGTCATATTTACCTTTGACTCTACCTCCTCAGTATATACCAACACTGTCTTGGACATTTTACATTTAACATAAATATATGATTCTTATACCACCATCCAATAGGGGCCTTAAGATCTTAACTCGACACTTGTGACACTTATGGGTCGAGATGTTGTGATATACGACACTACCAGATGACAATCATCTAGATTCGTTGCTAATAGAGAAAATGTCCGCGGTCAAACACATAGATTACTGCATAGTTAAACATATGACCTATAAAGTGCGCAGAGGCGCTGCTTACCAGCTGACGTCGGGACAGGTTGATGAAAGATATCACGCCGTGCCTATTATCAGTTAAGGGGATCTCTAAAACAGAAATATTAGTTAAACCTTATGGAACAAACATAATCACAATATCCCTGCCCACACGCAAAATACGCGCTTAGACGTTGAGTTGTGGAAAATAGCCCGTCGTTATCTAATATAATCTAAAACTTATGGAAGATTCGGAAAAAGTGCTTGGAGTGCACGATTCACAGTATTGAAAACCAATGCTCCCCAGTTTCCTGTAAGCTTGAGGCAAGCTTACTCTTGAATCCAATAACTTACTCTTGAATCCAATAACTTACTCTTGAATCCAATAACTTACTCTTGAATCCAATAACTTACTCTTGAATCCAATAACTTACTCTTGAATCCAATAACTTACTCTTGAATCCAATAACTTACTCTTGAATCCAATAACTTACTCTTGAATCCAATATAACTTACTCTTGATTCCAATAACTTACTCTTGAATCCAATAACTTACTCTTGAATCCAATAACTTACTCTTGAATCCAATAACTTACTCTTGAATCCAATAACTTACTCTTGAATCCAATATAACTTACTCTTGATTCCAATAACTTACTCTTGAATCCAATAACTTACTCTTGAATCCAATAACTTACTCTTGAATCCAATAACTTACTCTTGAATCCAATAACTTACTCTTGAATCCAATAACTTACTCTTGAATCCAATAACTTACTCTTGAATCCAATAACTTACTCTTGAATCCAATAACTTACTCTTGAATCCTATAACTTACTCTTGAATCCTATAACTTACTCTTGAATCCAATAACTTACTCTTGAATTCAATAACTAACTCTTGAATCCATTAACTTACTCTTGAAACCAATAACTTACTCTTGAATCCAATAACTTACTTTTGAGTCCAATAACTTACTCTTGAATCCAAAGCTTACTCTTGAACCCAATAAGCTGCAACAGTAATAAATTCAATAATCTACAGTAAGAAGGAAGTAGGTAATTTAAAAAAAAATCAAAGACCTTAAATTAAAGAAACCCCCAGGCGTGTATGAAATCCCTAACAAGATAGTCAAATCTCTTCCGCCTCGTCTGACGTCTCTTAGTTGCGACCTTCAACGTGGTCCTATCCAACTGCAAATTCCCAGATGCTTGGAATGTAGCTGACTTCATCGGTATTTACAAGCCTGACAAGCCCATAAACCAGGCTTCAAGCTATAGGCCAATAGTCTCATAATAGTCATGCGAAATCTATGAAGCAACATTATCATCATGTTGTGCTTAGCAAAAATCTATTCCCTTCCGAATACTTAACTGGCTTTAGCATCTTGAGTCACGAGGAGAGAAGTGCGGGAAGACAATATCCCCTCCGCGGAAACATGGTATTTACCGTTAAAATCAGTTTTTAGAGTTACGTTTTAAAAACTAAATTAGTCGCCTTTATTATTAGGGGTTGTGGTAGGGGTGGGAACTTCGCGAAAAGACACTTAAGAAATACTTCAAAATTCTTATGACGCTTTGCCGGAAGCTGCTACGGGATGTTCGTTCGACTCGCTCATTTCGGTCACCAGTTACATGGGGAAATGCCTACGCATACCCGCCTCGCGGGGGCAAGGACGGGTTATGTCGGACTCGCACCGACTAAAACCCCATGGTGTTCCACCTTCGTCGCATATTGGCAGGGCCACGGGAACGCTTTCGCACACATCCGCGGCCCCACCTGCGCTGGCCGCCCCATGGCAGCCTCCCCTCGGGAGAGGACTACTCCTCACCCATCTCCTCCTCAGGTAAGGCGCACCGGAACACATGGCGCGCCCTCCTACTCGGCCTCCATTTTCAAATGCGCAATAGACACCCCCGTATCCGATGTGCGAAGGCCATGGGGCCAGGAAAAACTAGCACTCAGAAGCACCAGCCTTCCTGACCCCAGCGGCGGATCTGGCCTATGGCTCCGCCGCCAACCAAGATTCGGCTGCGGAGGGTAGGGAGATCGGCGCCTCGCAATACCGACACTCCTCTTACCCCGCAGCCCCACCACCACCACATCACATGACGGTGCGGCCCCGTCAGAGTCGCGGAGGATAGGGCGAGTGGCCCAGTAACCTACAGCTCCTCCTCATTTCGCTTGTTATTGCCCCTAAGGTTTACAGTTACAAAGGGGGGATTTAATGTATTAAGACACATTGAAGTAATATGTACTACGTGCGTACGTCAGCATAGGGACTCCTCGTACGCGGTGAATGTAGAAGTGAAAAAGGTGATCGATGGTGCTGCCTCGTACCTGTTCACAGACATAATGTCTGCTGCTTTTTCAAACAATCAGCTCTACTCGGAGCTTTATCCTATTTGATCATGTTTCTTTGTTATATCAAATATATATATATATATATATATATATATATATATATATATATATATATATATATATATATATATACCTAGTCAGGTCATAAATTCTGTCACATGTTTAATATAAAATAATTGAAAGAAGTCTATTCATTATGTAACCATTTATATAGCAAAATGAACTTAACAAAACATAGATTCTTATGACACTAAAGTTTATTCAAAATGACCTCCGTGATTTTGAATACAGGCCTTCAATCTGCGCGGCCAGTCGTCTATCACAGCACGAACGAGGTCCATGTCAATATCGGCGGCTGCCTTAATCAAGGATGTCTTGAGTGACTCCAAATTGGGATGAGGCTTTGAGCACGCCTTTTCCTCCAAGTGTTGCCATATCTTGTAATCTAACGGATTCAAATCTGGACTGGAGGAGGGCCAGTCTTCGTGCCGGATGAAGTCGATTTCACGCGCCGCCTGCCAGTCTTGTGTGCTCTTCGCTCTATGAGCTGGCGCCGAATCTTGTTGGAATACCCAGTGCCTGTTATTGAACATGGTATGAGAAACAGTTCCACAAGGTTCGTTAGGACTGTATTTTGATACACAACTGCATTCGTTTTTACACCTTTCTCACAAAAATGTACCTCTGTTAAGCCCCAATAAGAAACTCCGAACCGTACCATGAGCGAGGATGGAAAATGACCTCGTTGGACACGCGGAATACGGTTGCTCGCTTCTTCACTACTGTGTGCGTACACCTTATCATTTTGTTTGTTGTAGCTCTCTTCTACGGTAAGAATTTTTTCATCCGAAAAAAGAATTTCCCGATATTTTTTTCCCGCGTACCGCTTCAACAAAGCGCGGCATCTCTTCAGTCTCAGGTCCATTAGACGAGCAATCAAACGATGCCCTGTTTTTCTTCGATATGCCCGAAGCCCTAAGTTTTCATTTAACACCCTTTTCACCGTGGTTCTGCTTAACCCCATCTGAAGGGCCAACAGTTTCTGCTTACGTTTGGAATTTCTTTGAATTCGCGCCTTCACAGCTTTTATCACTGCTGGAGTCCTAACAGACCGAGGGCACAGTATAAATATATAGTAGGAACAGTACGGACTCTACCTACAAACGCTCGAAACGGCACACTCACACAAACATGCGCAACGACGAGACTTCTAAGCGCTCGTCGCAGTGCTCTTTGTAGCTAGTGCTGCGTCAAGACTTTAAAAATGCCACGAACGTATTGCGTATGCGTAGTATACGGCTGTTTGAACTCGGCTTCATCAAAACCGGAGCTATCGTATTTTAAGCTTCCTGCTGATTTTGAAAGGTAAAAATGAGTTTTATTGTCATTGTTATAATCGTTATCGAATTATAAGGTCTGTGATCATAATGAATTCGTGAACTTATTTGTAAATCCAGAATGCGGCGGATTTGAGGCTATTTAAAGCTGATAGTGCAATAGTGTTAACAAAAAGTAAATCCAAGATGGCGGCTGCAATATGTATCATTTTTTTTCATAGGTGGTATTTTCATGGGTTTCGAGGGTGTTGAAGTCGTTAGTGCTGTCGAAATGTAAATCCAAGATGACGGCTGCAATAGGTATCAGTTTTTTCGTCATGGGTGTCATTTTCATAGTTTTTGAATATGTTGAAGCCGATAGTGCTGTTGAAATGTAAATTCAAGATGACGGCTGCAATAGGTATTAATTTTTTCGTCATAGGTGTCATTTTCATAGTTTGTGAGGGTGTTGAAACCGATTTTTCGTTGTTGCTTTAAAAAAGAACACATAAACTGCAAAGTAGCTGATCTAATTTACAAAAAAATAAACAAAATCGGTCTGATAGTACCCTGTCCTTGTTTCCCAACAGTTTATTTTAAAAAAAAACCTGTTCATTAGAATGATAATGTTTTACACAATTAAATTCCATAATAAAGAATTCTGAACTTGTCGTAGCAGACGAAAATATTTTTCTATAAATAATTTGTAATAATGAAGAATAAAGGTACGTTTTCGTCCAACCGCAGCTCGCGTACGCTCCCGCCGAAACTTGTAAAAAAAGGTTACGTCTTACGTCGTAATGACAAAGTTAAAGATCTATAGTTCTACAAGTTGTTGTGTATTAATATTAAATTGTTTTCCGTATTGAAACTATCGTCTTTTGCTAAGATTACCCGACGCCATGAGATTACATATTTAATTTGTATTTGTAAGCAAGTTATTTAAATTCGATTGATTGATCGCTAAAGAACAAAAATATAAAAAAAGCAATATCAAAAACATTAAAAATAACAATCCTATTGCTTCAATGGAGCGTAGGTAATTATGTCCTCAACTAGGCTTAGTTTCCATAACGCGTAGTGTTTCTATATAGTTTGTGGTTTCCATACTGTTCATATTTATTTACTGTGCCGAGGGCGACCACTTCTTGACCTGTCATCTACACTAGAGTCTTCATTGTATCGTTTGATGGTACGATAAACGAATCTTTTGGTTATATTCAAATTTTTCAGTATGTCAAAAATTTGCATTGGCGCGTAACCGCAACGATGCAACGCAATAACTGCAAGTTGCTTTTGTTTATAATATTTTTTAAATGTGTGTAAAATGTGTATATCAAATAAATAGTTCTTTCTTTCTTTCAACACGGTCTTCTTTAAGCGTCCACTGCATATTTAAAAATGAGTAAAACCCTAAAAAGTATACAGTTTTATTTTCATGAACAATTCGAAATTAGAATTCAATAAACTTTTTTGTGGCCAGCATTCTAAAAGAAAAGTTTTTACTGTGTGACAATACTTATGACCTAACTAGGTATATATAAGAGATTTCCACCTACGTATTGACTCATCACAATATCTGGAACCATGAGACCTAGAGATTTAAAATTTGATAGGAATATTCCATATTCCATTTGGGGTTGCGGGGACGTTAATTTAAAAAAAAATACATTTTCAAACTATAGCTCTTATAACCTATATTTTTATTGTTTTTGAGTGGGGACCCTTGATGATTTAGATTCACAATTGGTAGGTGGCACTTTTGTCAAGATCGAAAAATCACCCGTGAAAAGCCGGGGCGGATGGGCTAGTACACCATATAAACTCGTACCAGTAAGCAAAGTGTAAGCCCCCCCCCCTCCACTAGTTGGAGTGACGACCTGGTAAGATTTGCAGGAAGTCGATGGATGCAGGTGGCTCAAGACCCTGCTCTGTGACACTCCTTGCGGAAGACCTATGTTCAGTAGTGGACTTGTAAAGAGCTGTAATGATGATGATAATAAAGCGGTGATTTTCCACCACCTCTCTGACGTTTAAACCTGGTCCTGAGTCGAACATAACGCTTTATGTATAAGAGAAAGCTATGCAAGTTTTTGAAAAAAAAAATGGTAATCAGTATTCAGCGAAACAGTTCTTTAGAATTCTGTGGCTAATTTTTAATCGGGGGATTATTAACCGGCCGAATAAATAACATATAGATGACTGTTAATGAGATACTTTAATACTAAACCGAGCGGTGTTAAATTATGTTTGCAAAAACTGTTAAAAAACAAGTTAAAAAAACTTTACTTAACTGGCGATAATTATGAACGGCTAAAATACGTAAAATGAGCTAATAACAGTGGGAAACAGTTATTTTAAGATAGCAACTAAAATTCCAAGCGTCCGAATTAAATACTAAATTGGGCCAAAAAAATATCGAGTGGGTGACAGTAGGTTCAAGGCGCGGGTGGGATGGCCCTTGGGTCACACTAAAGCCGCGTACATTATAATTATGGAGTGTAGAGTAGAAGGAGGACCATCTCTGTATATGAAAAGTGTCCCTAAAAACGTGTCCAATAAGGGTGGCGCTGCAGTAGCATAGGATAAATTAAAAAAGAAGCGCCAAAAGTATTTAGAATAAGATGGAGAAATAAATAAGGACCGATCAATCCGCTTGGTTTTGTACTACGTAAATAGTTGAGATTTTGTATATTGGCGTTTTACTAACTACTCTAGTCATGAAATATTTGAATTCAGCTGACTTCACTCCGTTCATAACAGCTATCTTCATATCGTAGTTTTTCAGACGCCAGCGCTATTGTGGTAGGTTTTGGAACCTCTATTTACAGTAAATAGTAGGACACTTTTTCAACCTTCGCTCCTTATAAGATGGTTCTCCTTCTACTCTACACTCCATAATTATAATGTTATAAAATATAATATTGAAAGAATTGAAATTTTTAATTTAAAACATTCTAAAAGTATAAATCAAAAGTAGTTTTGACTAACATTCTTAGTCAACATACGCTTATAATTATTTTCCTAAATTAGTCTAGTATATGTAAGATAGTTATATTACCAGATCGTGCTCATATCATGTCGATGAAATTTTTTGTTTTGAAATTCATCGTTTTAAGCCACCGTTTTCAATATTTGTGTTCGCCCTCAGTCTTTCTCCCATTTAGTGTTTCAGTGCGCTATAATCAGTATTTATGACACCCATAATTAGATTTTATATTCGGTCGTTTTAAATACTACCTATTTTAATCATATAGTTATTAAGTATTTCTGGACGCAGCCGCTAATGTCATCAGTGTCAAAGTCATGTCGTGTCGTGTCAATGTCATTCTTTCACGAAAGTCACGAAAGTTTGTTTTGTAATTTGTAATTTGTATTGTATTGTACACATACGCCGAAGTTAAAAGGATGAGGTTATTTTAATCAAGACTTGTTATAAATGTGAACGTACTTTAAGTGGTTGTTTGCGGATACATTTGAGAAATGATATAATTGCACGAAAATGAGTGCACTACTTATATTTTTATTTATTATCGTGGCAATTTACATTTCTGTTTCATGGTACGTTCATTTTTTAGATTATGTTGTTGTTTGTTTTTTAACAAAATTGAAAGATTACTCACGTACACATAATTTAAAGGGAGTTTGCATTTTCCTTGCACTTAAATAAATATTATATTTCTGTAATGTGATCACTAAACTGTTCTTATTTGCAATGCTGTGTTAATTACCTACACATTAGCACATAGCTAGTTTTCGGAGGCTAATACATAAAACCATCTTCTACAATCACTTTACAATTTTCAAAGAAATCTAATCTAATCATTCAATAAAAATATAATGTGTTTAATAAGAATATTAACTATTGTAGTTTTTTAGTCAAGTTACATTCATTTGTTTATGAATGATTGAACAAATCTCTTAAAATCATTACTTTTTTTTTAAATCATTACTTAAGTATATGATTCATACAAATTTTAAACTATTTAAACTTCATCATCAATCAACTAATCTTAACTATTTATCATAATTTATTTCTTTTGTCAAATGTTTAAGTCTTTTGGAATTTGGTTATTAATGTATGAATAATATGCTGTTGACATAATAAGATACTAGTTTGTCCTATCCTAAAATAAATTCCTAAAATAAGTTCCTATCCTAAAATAAATGTGTGTTACCATTATAATCATCATCACAGCTCTTCACACGTGTACTGCTGAATATAGGCCTCCCCCAAAGAATGCCACCAAATTTACAGTGTTTGTTAACTGATGTAAAACTCTTAAATCGTAATTCTATTGGCTTAGATTATTGCCCGTAGGGGTACTTATTTATACACTACTCAAGAATTTAAAACACTTAAAACGTAACTGTAGCAGTTAACGGGAATATAAGTTATTTTAGCATTGCTAAGTAGTATTTTTCTTAATGATTTCTTATATTTACGCGAACACTACACATTGAATAAAACTATTTTTACGGATTTTATCGCGTTTAATTTACTTATTTTATATTCCCGACGTTTCGGTTGCTTTCCAGCAACCGTGGTCACGGGGGACTGAGGTGATTGACGTCCCGATGTCAAAGTTAACCCGGAGTACCTTCAGCTTTTTAATTATTAATTTTGGTCCGATCTACGCAGAATGAACTAACTGTGTCTTGAAGTCTTACAGTGGTATGCTTGGGTTTAGTTTTAATTTTATGAATTACAGGATCCCAAGCAGGTGGTAGTACCCAGCCTCCCTCTCTATTGAAATTAGGATGTTTTTTAATTTCAATAGCCTCACGTATCATCCTTGGCAGGAATCGATGTTCTTTCGCGAGGACTTGTGGTTTATCAAATCTAATGTAATGACGGGGGCCGTCTAGGATATGATCACAAACTGCAGACTTCCCGGAACGTTGGTGCTTCACGTCAGCTATGTGTTCTTTTACGCGGGTTTTTATTGATCGTTTTATTGATCGTTTTATTGATCGTTTTAAACGATCAATAAAAACCCGCGTAAAAGAACACATAGCTGACGTGAAGCACCAACGTTCCGGGAAGTCTGCAGTTTGTGATCATATCCTAGACGGCCCCCGTCATTACATTAGATTTGATAAACCACAAGTCCTCGCGAAAGAACATCGATTCCTGCCAAGGATGATACGTGAGGCTATTGAAATTAAAAAACATCCTAATTTCAATAGAGAGGGAGGCTGGGTACTACCACCTGCTTGGGATCCTGTAATTCATAAAATTAAAACTAAACCCAAGCATACCACTGTAAGACTTCAAGACACAGTTAGTTCATTCTGCGTAGATCGGACCAAAATTAATAATTAAAAAGCTGAAGGTACTCCGGGTTAACTTTGACATCGGGACGTCAATCACCTCAGTCCCCCGTGACCACGGTTGCTGGAAAGCAACCGAAACGTCGGGAATATAAAATAAGTAAATTAAACGCGATAAAATCCGTAAAAATAGTTTTATTCAGTATTTTTCTTTAAAAAATTGGCCACTAACCCACTTGGTGGTAAGTGGTGATGAAGCTCTAGATGGCAAATCACACTGTCTTAGCGTAACAAAACTACTGCCTTTCACTATTGCCTTGAAGAGGCCCAGATTGTATCTGGACAATAATTTAAAATTAAAGATTTTGTACAGCTGACACCAATATAAGTTATTAAGAATAACTCAAATAACTCAAAAACTATTGTTCTGACCTTGATCAAATTCATATGGGACCACACGAGAAGTATCAGCTTTCATATAAAAAAAGAATCATCGAAATCGGTCCACCCAGTAAAAAGTTATGAGGTAACACACATAAAAAAAAAACATACACGTCGAATTGAGTACGTCTCCTTTTTGGAAATCGGCAGATAAAACAGCCGCCAGCAAATTATTCCACTCCTTTGCTATACTCATTACAAAAGATGAAGCAAACCATTTGGTTCTAGTGTGTGGTATATCAACAACAAAAAGAGGTGAAAATCATCATGATGTGTCCAGTTCATATTAAATATGAAATTTCCTTTCATACTTTGTTTGATAAAGTATGCTGCTAAGTTGCCAGCATCTGTGTTTCCATCTGATTACAAGGTGGGTGTCTTCAAGGCAAGAGTGAATAGGCTTTTGTTAAGTCAGTGCACTTCACCATCTTAGGCTACATCACCACTTACCATCAGTTAGGATTGTAGTTAAGCGCTGGCTTAGAATAATATCAAAAAATGTTGGCAATAGGAAGAAAGGAATTTGATTATTTTCTATTGTGTTCTGTAATTAAAGAATTTGCTGAATAATTTCATTAGTATTAATTGATGATTTGCTTCCTTTAAAGGTTGTTACCAACTTTACTAGCATGGTTGTTCAAGAGAAAATACCATATCAAATTGAAAATTGGCAGAATAGCAGTACCAAAGCTTATATTACGTGACGTTAGTCTATCAAAAGATGGATACTCCATTGTAAGTTCAAATCATGAATATTTTAAGTGTGCTTATATGGATGATGTCCTGACCGAATTCCCATCACGGTGGTCAGTCTCAATGGAGACCAGCCATCTGCGCAGGCAGGATTATATTGAACAAGTGTGTGTGCAAACACTGATGCTCTCTCTGTTCCCTCACTCTCATAGTCTATAGTCCAATAGGATGGATATCATACATGACCATAAGAAGATCAGGTGCAGGACCATCAGCTTTAAATACTTTCCAAGGCATGGGGGTGAAGCAACACCAACTTCCTAACTCTGGGATCATTATAAGATATTCTGGACTAAACTAACGGAAAAATCTAATTACTGTTTTTCTCCTAACTAGAGATTCAAACCTAGAACCTCATGATCAGCGGTAGAGCTAGCCGCCACTGGACCAACAAGGCATCCTAGCCAGCTTATATGGATATTAGAGTACTGTACTATTATCATCAAAGAGTCAACACCAATGAAAAAATACATATTCATATTGTTTATTTTTGGGTCTTTCGTTTTATGATTTTTCCCAACATCTCTGACAATCTATCCGAGTCAAGTTACAGTTTATATACAATAATGCTGGTGGACACAGGCCTCTTGTCATATCTAAGAGGGCTTTAAGGGCAAGGATGCATCTGGAACTCTGTCCTTATTTAAGACTGCACATGTACTGGTCCGAGAGCTCATGACGCATTTTTCATGAAGTGTTTGATGCATCATGAAACTTTGTTTAAAGGTATCAGTCGACTCAATAAGCAGGTATATGACTGTCTGCCTGGCCTACCTGGGTACACCTGGTACTGCGCATACAGTTAAGTCGAAAAAAAATTTGCCCAAAAAAAAGTGTTTGATTCAAATAATAATAATGACTATCCGTTAGCTAAGTTTATAAACAATTAAGAAAAAAAATGGCAGACACTTCTGAAGGGGTTTACATAGAGGCAGACGACCACAAAGTTGTATTTTCAAAAATTCCAAAAAAAGTGTTTGATTCAGTCTGCCATTTTTACAGCGTGTTTATTATGTATAATAAAATATTCTCACAAAAAGGCAGACAGTTTCTCCGGGGGTTACTAATTTAAAAATCTATACAAATAAATAAAATTTAAATGTCTGTTTTTAATTTCAAAATAACAATTTTTTACTAAACGCATAAGACATTATATACGATATTTATAACAAAAACACAATTTTTAAAATTTTTGTCTGTCTGTTTGTTCCGACTAATCTCCGAAATGGCTGGACCGATTTTGACGGGACTTTCACTGGCAGATAATTGATGTTATAACGAGTATTTTAGGCTGCTTTTAAATTTAAAAAAAATTATTAGGGTACCGCGCAAAAAAAATAAAACCCTAAATTACATGCGGGCGAAGTCGCGGGGAACAGCTTTTTATTTTATCAGCAGCTATTTAAATAATCTTAAAAAAGTATAATTATTTTCATGTTTGTCAATTGGAATCGGATTCTGCTGTCAATGTACTTATCAAATCATGTGATACAGATGTATTAATTATTATGATAGGAAATATGGACCATTTAAAAAGTGATTATTTATTTGTATAGATTTTTAAATTAGTAACCCCCGGAGAAACTGTCTGCCTTTTTGTGAGAATATTTTATTATACATAATAAACACGCTGTAAAAATGGCAGACTGAATCAAACACTTTTTTTGGAATTTTTGAAAATACAACTTTGTGGTCGTCTGCCCCTATGTAAACCCCTTCAGAAGTGTCTGCCATTTTTTTTCTTAATTGTTTATAAACTTAGCTAACGGATAGTCATTATTATTATTTGAATCAAACACTTTTTTTTGGGCAAATTTTTTTTCGACTTAACTGTATGCGCAGTACCAGGTGTACCCAGGTAGGCCAGGCAGACAGTCATATACCTGCTTATTGAGTCGACTGATACCTTTAAACAAAGTTTCATGATGCATCAAACACTTCATGAAAAATGCGTCATGAGCTCTCGGACCATACTGAAATTGACATGGCGAAAATGCCAAATTTTGTATACCTGTTTATAATTATAAAGATGCACTGTATCCATCCATCTTGCATCTATCTACTTCCTGCATACCTTACCAGTTCTTAACTAACTAGTGGGGAGTTGCCCTACACTTAGTTATTAGTATTAGGTGCCTAGAATATTTGCACATATACTTTGGCACTATATCTTTTGTGTTGTTTATGACACGGAAATATTCATTAGTGTTGTTACATGTATTTGTTTCTTATGAAGTTAATATTCCACCGTGTAGTAGCAACGAAAGGGAATACATAATCCCATTTAGTCCCATGGGTGTTGTATGAGGTCATTATTGGAAATGTAAGAAAATACTAATGGCTTTTGATTAGCATAACTATTTCATATACACCAAATCTAAAATACCCAGACCAGCGACGTTCAGCAGCGTTCAAATGCGAGGCACATCTGTTACTGCGATTGTCCATCCATCTGCCAAGTGTTTCCTTAAGGCAAATCCTCCCTTCGACAGGAGAAGCCCATGTCCAGCTATGGGCATTCTTTCATTAAATCTTATCAAAAGTCCACTGCTGAAAATAGGCTGCTCAATTCATTGTCTCATATATAAGATATTCACCATAGTTGGCAAGCTTGACAGACAGGTTGGCAATTGTAGTTTTTATTCATTGTTTTGAGAAAGATTCCTCTTACGACACCAGCGGAATGATATGGTGTAGTGGATTCTTTTACGCTACTACTCCATGGCATGAATGGGTCAGATTTAACAAAATTAGTATACATTTAATAACACCCTAATTTCTAGAAGTAAATTTAAAATTTCATAATATAACACAACTAGATTGTTTTTAAATGAAGTTTCATTTAAAAACAATTGTGTATAAATTTTGTAAATGGAAAAGAATATATTTTTATTAAGAATATATTATGATTATATAAAAGAATATATTTATATTAAAATATTTCATGAAAGCCACTTTATAGTAAGAACAATGGCAAGTTTACATATGACAACATAGAAATTCCTAGGATGTGGAATGCAAAATGGAGATAAGAAATTGGTATTGTAATATAGATTTACAATAACACTCCACTGTTTCATAGTAATATAATACATATTTTACATTTATTTATACCAACAAGTATATTGTCACATTGTTTCTTTTTCTGGATTCAAGGGGGAGATTTCAAGTTTCATCTTTTATACATAATATTTATGTTATTCAATTTCAGCATATTGGTGAGGTATCCTTCCGCAGCAGTTTTTTCAATTCAGATATCAATAAACTGGTCTCTGTTGTTATTAATAAGATTCAAATCACAAACAATGCAGAAGAGAAGAGAAGTGTGGTTGTGGAGACTATTCTTAAACCTTTGTTATCGAAGCAGAATTCGACTTCAAGAGGATTGGAAGAGAATACTGCTGAAATGCAGGCAGTCAATAGAGAGCTGGCAAGAATGAAACAAAACTTATTAGACTTCCGGGACAAAAAGTTACCACCCAGTCTGATTATGTTTGCACAGGTATGGAACTAAGTATGAAATAACTCTTAAAATTTCCAGAATTTGGTCTAAAGGAATTCATAATATTATATATTATGATCATATCATCTAGGCTCTGCAGCTGTAATAAACATTATGCTTCAATTCACATTGTACTCACACTGTTTTTGTCTCTAATCTGATATAAATTATAGGTTCTATTGAATTAAAATGATTAAGTGCGTTAATGGAGCTAACATTATATTATAGATGGGGTTTAAAAAAGGAACATATAATTGCTACTTCAATTTGAACAAAGGACCACGCAACCGGGGAAGGACCACACTCTCACAGAATACCAGCGTAAAATAGTAGCTTAATGCTGCGGTTTTTTGTATGGTGAGTGTAGAGAACCAGAGACCCATTTTACTGGAAAAGAGGCATTCTATCTTAGTCCTCACGGCTGACAACGCATCTGCATTTTAATTTGCAAACGAAGATAGATGTAGATGTTTATGGGCCACAGCAACCACTTACCATCAGGTGGACTGTGTGCTCGTTTATCACCCTTATTATATAAAAGAAAAAATATTTCTGTTTCTAGTTGTTTAAATATGTTTAAAAAAAATGCAAAACACATTGTCCTTCTGTGATTTTAGATATAGTTATTCCGACATTAAATGGTTATAACAAAATTGTTCAGGTACATAATTCCTTTTTATAAGAAATGCTGATTTAATTTTAAAATTTAATGTAGTAATTTTAGGGAGGAGTAATGTTAGGTCGCAGTGTAGTGGCGACGTAAGAAAACTATCTCGTTCATTTGCGTTGGTTAAATAATGCACATAAGAAACAGTCATGATCATTATTGGATTATATATAAATTTATAATATATCTTTTTATACTGCTGTCGTGTTTTTCTGTTATCCCAATGGTTGATCTGTATAAAATGCATTTTTTATAAGTTCCACATTAAAGTAAGAAGTTTTTTTTTTATAGGATAAGGGTGACAAACGAGCACACAGTCCACCTGATGGTAAGTGGCTGCTGCGGCCCATAGACATCTACATCTATCCTCTATTACAAATCAAAATGTAGATGCGTTGTCACCCGTGAGGACTAAGATGGAATGCCTCATTTCCAGTAAAAAGGGCCTCCGGCCACCTGCACTCACCAAGCGAAACGCAGAGGTAAACCTTTACTTCACGCTGGTTTTCTGTGAGGTCGTGGTACTACCCCGGTTCGAGCCGGCCCATCCGTGGGACAGCAAAAGCTGCCGCGTGGCTCTACCACTGTTAAACCACTGTAAAGTTTATAAATAATGGATAGTAATTAATGTCAGGGCGTATGTTTGGTTGTCTGTCATGGTGGCGACTGGGCTACTATACAATTAGTTTAAGGTAACTGGATAGTGCACGACGGGCGGCTTCTTTTACATGGGAAAATGCCTATGCATTCAACTTGACCAAAAAAATTAGGACCATGACAGGAATGCGTTTCGGCGCCTTCACTCTGCCTTTATCACCACTCTTCCTCTAGTGATCAATCACCGTTCTGGTGTTCCCTGCTTAGTTCTAATGACGCCTTAGCTGTCATGCGCCTAATTGTTTTGGTCACGCAGTACCTGTCTTACGGGAGCTAGGATGGGTGTCGAACTTGCACTGACTAAAACCCCGTGGTGTACAACATATGTAATATAATAAATGATTGTAGACTGCTTCTTGCTGGTTCTTCCCAGTACAGATTTATTTTCTGAACCAGTGGTAATTAAACATAAGAGTAACTTTTAATCAGTGTTAATTATCTATCAAAAAGTATCTATTTCTGTTTTTTGGTCGGCTGCATATTGCTAGGGCTACAAAAACGCTTTCGCACACGCCCTCACAGAATAGTAGTATAAAATAGCAGTTTATGCTGCTGTGTTTAGTATTACTTTTTTCGTATTACATAATTATTAAGCACACACAGAAAACGCGTTTATTACGTGGTAGTGTCATGCTGTAGCTATATTACGATTGTATCACGAATGAGTCGACTAGATCGAGGAAGGACCACGTTCTTACAGAATATTAGCGTAAAATATATCAACTGAATGCTGCTGCGTTTGGAATGGTAAGTTCAGAGAACCGCAGACACTTTTTACTGGAAACGAGGCATTTCATCTCAGTCTTTAGGGGTGACAATGCGTCTGCATTTTGATTCTTAATCGAGGATAAATGAAGATGTCTATGAGCCACAGCATTCCCTTACCATCAGGTGGACTGTGTGTTCGTTTGTCACAATTATTTTATATAAAAAAGAAAAAGAAAACACATCGTTTCACACATAGTTTCCGACAAATGCGCGGTTCCACAAGCGCTGCGGATTTGTATGAAACTATAAGACGGGTAGGCTGTCACATGAGCGCGTTCACCGAGCTATACAGATTACATAATATACGGTGTTGTGCAGTTCATGGGCGTGCACATGGTGGACTTGTCGCTGACGATCGTGAACGGGAGCCCGCGGTGCCCGTGGGTAGTGGAGGCGGGCGCGGGCGAGGTGCGCGCGGACGGCGCGGCGGGCGGGCCGGCGCGCGCGCTCGCCTTCTGCGCCAGCGTGCTAAGCGTGCGCCTCGCCTACCGCGCACACGCGCGCCTCGAGGCCGCCGCCAGCCTGCACCTCGAGGGCACCGTCAAGGCCGACGGCCCGCTCAACGTCGAGGTACGCGCTATCCAACATTCACTGACCGTGCTGCTATGAAACTTCTGCGCCAGCGTGCTGCGCGCGCGCCTCGCCTACCGCGCACACGCGCGCCTCGAGGCCGCCGCCAGCCTGCACCTCGAGGGCACCGTCAAGGCCGACGGCCCGCTCAACGTCGAGGTACGCGCTATCCAACATTCACTGACCGTGCTGCTATGAAACTTCTGCGCCAGCGTGCTGCGCGCGCGCCTCGCCTACCGCGCACACGCGCGCCTCGAGGCCGCCGCCAGCCTGCACCTCGAGGGCACCGTCAAGGCCGACGGCCCGCTCAACGTCGAGGTACGCGCTATCCAACATTCACTGACCGTGCTGCTATGAAACTTCTGCGCCAGCGTGCTGCGCGCGCGCCTCGCCTACCGCGCACACGCGCGCCTCGAGGCCGCCGCCAGCCTGCACCTCGAGGGCACCGTCAAGGCCGACGGCCCGCTCAACGTCGAGGTACGCGCTATCCAACATTCACTGACCGTGCTGCTATGAAACTTCTGCGCCAGCGTGCTGCGCGCGCGCCTCGCCTACCGCGCACACGCGCGCCTCGAGGCCGCCGCCAGCCTGCACCTCGAGGGCACCGTCAAGGCCGACGGCCCGCTCAACGTCGAGGTACGCGCTATCCAACATTCACTGACCGTGCTGCTATGAAACTTCTGCGCCAGCGTGCTGCGCGCGCGCCTCGCCTACCGCGCACACGCGCGCCTCGAGGCCGCCGCCAGCCTGCACCTCGAGGGCACCGTCAAGGCCGACGGCCCGCTCAACGTCGAGGTACGCGCTATCCAACATTCACTGACCGTGCTGCTATGAAACTTCTGCGCCAGCGTGCTGCGCGCGCGCCTCGCCTACCGCGCACACGCGCGCCTCGAGGCCGCCGCCAGCCTGCACCTCGAGGGCACCGTCAAGGCCGACGGCCCGCTCAACGTCGAGGTACGCGCTATCCAACATTCACTGACCGTGCTGCTATGAAACTTCTGCGCCAGCGTGCTGCGCGCGCGCCTCGCCTACCGCGCACACGCGCGCCTCGAGGCCGCCGCCAGCCTGCACCTCGAGGGCACCGTCAAGGCCGACGGCCCGCTCAACGTCGAGGTACGCGCTATCCAACATTCACTGACCGTGCTGCTATGAAACTTCTGCGCCAGCGTGCTGCGCGCGCGCCTCGCCTACCGCGCACACGCGCGCCTCGAGGCCGCCGCCAGCCTGCACCTCGAGGGCACCGTCAAGGCCGACGGCCCGCTCAACGTCGAGGTACGCGCTATCCAACATTCACTGACCGTGCTGCTATGAAACTTCTGCGCCAGCGTGCTGCGCGCGCGCCTCGCCTACCGCGCACACGCGCGCCTCGAGGCCGCCGCCAGCCTGCACCTCGAGGGCACCGTCAAGGCCGACGGCCCGCTCAACGTCGAGGTACGCGCTATCCAACATTCACTGACCGTGCTGCTATGAAACTTCTGCGCCAGCGTGCTGCGCGCGCGCCTCGCCTACCGCGCACACGCGCGCCTCGAGGCCGCCGCCAGCCTGCACCTCGAGGGCACCGTCAAGGCCGACGTCCCGCTCAACGTCGAGGTACGCGCTATCCAACATTCACTGACCGTGCTGCTATAAAACTCTGTCTCTATGCCCTACCGTGCATCTACGTAGTGTCGAGGACCGACAGACTGTTTAATATCGAGTAAATCGGCACTTAAAATTGTAATTAATAATTTCATTGGTGCCGGCGGAGATCGCACCCGAATTGCTCGCGTATCTGAGTTATAACGGCTTATAAGCGTACTAATATAAAATAGGCGTGTGTATCTCTTTACGGAACCGACTCACTGATCCGAATCACTGAAGTGATTCAAAAGATTGGTTCGGTAATAACGTTTCAAATGCATCATTTGGATCTGAAACAGTGAAATATTACTTTGCTCTGTGCTCATTTCGCGCGACGCGTCGCTTGCGAGGCGACTGCGACCAACTGCGACTGAGCCACGAGCGAGAGAGACAGACTCAGACAATGATTAACTTAACTATTGACTCGCGAGTGGCGAGTGAGAGGGCGAAATAATTATAAGCCACACAAGTCAGATAGAGATAACAAATAAGAAGTGTATTATTCAACTCGTACGTAGTTTCGCTGTCATTATTAATGCACGTAAAAATTACCACTAAGGCGCTTACGTAGCAAATACTATACGGTCGTTTTTTGTATGTAATGTTTGCATTAACAAGTTGTCATTTTACGTTGATGTGGCACTAAACTTGTCTAATTGTTTATGTTCATTATCGCCTGTTTACAAAAACATACTGTGTTCTGTTTAGGATTTCTTTGCGTAGTGATTATTGTGACTTACTTTCTTCCTTTTCATCATAAATTTAGAGTTATGAGACTTTACGAGAGAATTCTGTATACATAGACATTGTTGTTTTGTATAAATTGACATTTTTGTAAATAATGAATTAACATAATGACATTTTTGTTAAAATATGAAGGAGGATCGATTTTATATACAATCTTAATACGGTACACAATAAATAACCTAACCTAAGCGCTTATATTACTCAGCATTATTGCCAAATAACATTTCACTGACTCAGTCAGTAATAAATGCCCGCGACGCAACTAAATATATTCGGAACATTCTGTATTTTATATCTTTCGAGTCGATTAACCAAATGAGCCAAATGAATCATCAGTGTTTCGCAACATTTCAGTGATCGAGATGCAAATGTTCCAATCGCAAAAATGATACACTGCCCACCTCCAATATAAAATAACAAATAACGCGAAAATTTTTCTCATTACAATATAAATAGATTTATAGTGAGTATAATAATACATACAACGAGTTGAATGTAAATTCAACAAAAACAACTTCCTTCTGCGTGAATCCCATATCTCTGGTGCCCTTTGACTTACAGGACCCAAATTCAAACTCGACTGAGCTACTACCTCAAGGTATCCACATACCAAATTTAAAGTCAATCCGTACTGTGGAACGGAAGTTATCGTGTCGGCATACAGACTAACAGACTGCCAGCTAAAACCATTAACTTCCCTTCAATGCTACGCAGAAGGAAGTTAATAAGACAGAGGCGCATTAATGTCGATAGTGTCCTAGGCTAGCACCTCATCGGCGTACCTCTATCGAACATATATAATAAAAATTATAACTACTCATGTTGCAAATGAAATATATTATAATTTATATAGTTTAATTGTTGCAAAACAATTACGACACACACGAGTACCCTAAATGTGGTACCCAGGTGGGCGTGAATGAAAAATTTTATGAGAGAGTGAGGGCAATGTAAGAGTAATCAAAAATACGATTTTTTTCGTTTAAAAACTTCCACGCACGCCCCTTTTTGAATATGCACCGCTAGGCACGTCCAAACATGCCTAAAGATAATCCGCCACTTAATAAGATATTGGAATCTACATCGATTAGACTATCTGTAAAATTACTAGTCCAGATCGACTTTGATAACTAAACGACATGTTTTAGCTGCAATATATTGTAAACAAAAACTCATTTTGTGGGCTTGATTATTTCTAATACGATTCCAATTAGTCTTTCATCCATTCTTTAAGGTTCAATTGATCTCACTTTTGTTATATTTTTATTTGTGTAATACAATTTTTATAAATAAATATTTTAAAACATGTGGTTTAAGGTTTTTACTGTCACAAGAACTAATTTATACATACACATATTAATGTGTATTAACACTAACAGGGGACAATAACAACATGATGTCTTTAATTTATTTTTATTTACAGAAAATTCACATGGCTATTAGCAATCCATCTATATCGTTAGAAGATGAAGTGTTCCAATTTATACATAAACAGAGGAGACGAAAGACTCCACAACCGAAATATTTTGTTGAAAATGACGATCACCTGAGCACTCTCATTCCGAGACTATCTCCGATTATACCAAAGGTAATGATGAATAACATTAACCTTTAAGTTATTGTAGCGCCTGACAAGATTTTATAAAAAAAATTGTTTTATTTACAGATTTTTAGTTTTAAAATCGATAAGACAACAATAAGCACTGGGGGTAAAACCACTATAACACTACAAAGTTTACAAGTAAGGAACAATTTTTTTAATCTATACTTTATAAATACTGGTTAAACTGTCATCACTTATATGTAGGCCGGCTACGCATCTGCAATTCTCCTGGTGTTGCGGTTGTTCATGGGCGGCGGTAGTCACTTACCATCAGGTGAGCCGCATGCTCGCTTTATAAATACTGGTTAAGCTGTCATCACTTATATGTAGGCCGGCTACGCATCTGCAATTCGCCTGGTGTTGCGGTTGTTCATGGGCGGCGGTAGTCACTTACCATCTGGTGAGCCGCATGCTCGTTTGCCCCCTCTCCTATAAAAAAATAGTCTCTACGTAGAGCCCTACCTACATATATACCTAGGCTACTTAGTCTAACGCAACAATACAGATGAATTGACTCAACTAGAAAAAAAAAACATGCGTGAAATAAAAACATAATGCTGCTTTATTTAGCATGGTGAGTGACACGAACTGGAGACACATTTTATTGGTACCGAGGCATTTCATCTTAGTCCTTATGGGTGAAAACCTGCATGTGTTTATGTGCTATTTGGCAAAGCATTCATGTATCACATGACTATTTGCTCGTTTATAACCTTTATTTCTATAAAAAATAAAAATATGTTTCATTTTCTTGTTAGTAAATTATACTCCGGCCCCACGTAAGTATTTGGTGATCAATTTTAAATACTATTTCTCGTCACTAGTCAAGGTATTTTTTTAGAACGCCATTTTTTTTTAGATAATTGAAAATAGCTTTGTAAACGCATGGTACGGAATATGGTTATGCTAGCACATTGAGTGGTTTATTTTGTATATTTTATACCTAGGCGATGACAAAATAAATATATATAAATATTATGTAAGTAATTTGAATGGGTCGCAGGTGAACTCCCGTTTCAGCGCGGCGCAGGTGGAGGGCGAGGGCGAGTCCGGCGTGCCGCAGGTGTACGTGGCCGTCCAGGCGGATCAGTTCCAGCTGGCCACGGACCAGGATACGCTGCTATACCTTAACAAACTCAAGCTCGACGCTAAGGTTCGTAGTTACAGGGATTTTAAAATTTGTCGGTATTAAAATAGCGTAATGCGGAAATCCGCACAAGCTAAAATACAATATACAATACAAAATACAAACACTCACGCCCGTCACCCAGAGGGGTAGGCAGAGACTACGGACTTCCATTTGGCGCGATCCTGACATACCTCTCTCGCCTCCTTTACATCCATATATTGACGCATACACACTCGTCGGTTAAGGGTACTCCTAATCTGGCCCATTTTCAATGTATCGCCGATTTGGTCGATAAATCTTCGTCTAGGGCGTCCCTTTCCGACTTTGCCGTTCACTTCTGAAACATAAATTTGCTTTGTCACTCTTTCCTCGTTCACTCTTTCTACGTGACCAAACCACCGAAGCATTCCTTTTTCAATCCTAGTCACAACGTCATCTTGCAAACCACACTTTTCTCTTATCACACTATTTCTCACCCTGTCATTCAGATTCAGCCCTAGCGTACTCCTTAATGATCGCATTTCTACAGCATTTATTCTACTCTCATGCTTCTTCTGCCAGACCCAACTTTCACTACCATACATTAAAGTAGGGACTAACACAGCATTATGAATTGCCATACGTGCCTTCTTTGACACATTCTGACTCTTCACAATAGCGTGTAGAGCCCCATTCACACTATTTTCTGCGTTCACTCGTCGTTCTATATCCTTATCATATCTACCATTACTCCTAAATAAACATCCCAAATATACAAACTCATCCACTTGCTCAATGAACTCCCCCTCTATTCTTATTTCACATAACGTTTTACTTTCTTCTCTTTCAAAAACCATCACTTTTGTCTTACTTGCGTTCACTTTCATACCCCTTTCTTTTAATGACCAGTTCATTAAAGTAACCATCATTTGCAACTCGGCCGCCGACGATGCAAATATGACTTGATCATCGGTGTACAAAAGGCATTTGACGGTTAACTCACCTATTCTCAACCCACATTCTTCAACTTTCAAAGTTTGCAAACAACTGTCCATAAATATGTTAAACAGCCACGGAGAAGCTACACAGCCCTATCTGACACCTTTTTGAATGCCAAACCAGTCCGAGTAGACCCCGTTGATCCTGACACAAGCACTAGAGTCCCTATAAAGAGACCTTAATGCCTGTATCAAGCCAGCGCTCAACCCAAATGAGGTCAGTGTGTGCCATAACACGTTCCTGTCCACTCTGTCATAAGCCTTTTCCAAGTCCATGAACGCACAAAAAACTTTCTGGTTTTTGGCCAAAAATTTCCCCGCAATCATGCGCGTGGAAAAGACTTGATCCGTACACCCCATCCCCTTTCTAAATCCAACTTGCACATCCCAAATTTTTCCATCAGTTTCTTCCATAACTCTTTCAATTAACACCTTAGCATACAGTTTACCCACAATGCTAAGCAAGCTGATACCACGGTAGTTTTTACAGTCTTGCTGCGACCCCTTTCCCTTATATATTGGGACTATAACGGCTTTGCACCAGTCTTCCGGTACACGCTTCAGTTTCCAACGTAAATTAAACAAGGTGTACAGCAGGCCTGCAACCACACCCTCTCCAGCCCTTAGCATTTCGAGTGATACTCTATCATACCCGGCTGCCTTACCTGCTTTCATGCTTTTCATTGCTTTCATTATTTCATCTACACTTATCTCCCTAAAAGCTAAAATACCTTTTGTAATTATCCAAAATACAATCACTTTACTATCAACAAGAATTTTAATATGATACTTTACCAATCTTTGTAAGTAGCACTGTACTTATAACTGTTTACTGTTTACAACAGAGGGAAACTAAGACAGGAGATTGGCAACAGCATTTTCCTAATAACAACTCAAATATGTAAAAAAACCGCGGTTGCCAAACCACCTGCTAGCCCTGGCAACTATGGCATTTGTCTCTTAGATTGCCCCAACGGGGGCAATCTATGAGAGAAGCCTTAGTTCAGCAGCGGACTATATGCGCTACGTATTAAGGTTTACTGGCTGAGAATGTTTTAGCATTTTTCCGATTTATTCTATTATTGTATATTATGGTAGAACCAATAAAGAATAATTTTTTTTAAAATATTATATACTTACAAGTATCCGGTTAATCAAATAAGCTGTTTGTACAAGGGAGTGCTTGAGTTGACATTATCATAGTTTAAAAACCGAGTACACAGACGGAAAAACCTAATAAAAAAAAAAAGAAAAAAAAAGAAATTCTTTTTTGTCTCATATTCAGTATAATAACTAAGGATAGTTTGATCTATTCTTGTAATTTTGGTTAAAATGTAACATTAATATATGTTGATTTGTTACAGTTGGAGAAGGAAGTGCTGAATTTATATCTGATAATTAGTACACTAAATGCGTCGTACAATCACGAAGACATTTTCCAGTGGTATCGTTCGACTCGGGAATTAATGCAGACAAAGCCATTGCATGTAGCCGAAGACACTTCACATTGTAAGTATTTTTTGTTAAAAATCTTCACGAAATTTGTAACCTGTGCAATAAAGATTTTTGATAATGTGTCTTATGTTGGCGTAGTATTTATAATAAAAAAAGAAAGTGCCAAGTGCATGTTCCTTTCCTTTTCCCCTTAACGTGGTTGTTGGCGGTTATGGTGCAGCGGGCGCGACGCCGGCGTGGGTGCGCGCGGCGTTGCGGCGCTGCGCGGTGCAGGGCTGCGCCGAGCTGCGCGCCGTCCTGCTGGCGGCTCGACGCCACCGCGCCGCGCCGCCACTCAGCCTCGGCTGCGGCGGCCTCAAGGTCAAGCTCGACCAGCTGCTCGACATCAGAGGTGCGTAACCCGCCGCACGACCTAACTATTTTTTTGTCTTGGGGTAATTCTCTCATGGGTACCTTTCGCTGTGGAGGAAAGGTTATATCGGACTACCACCGGATAAAATCCTACAATGGTCACCATCAGCGATCTCCGTTTGGAACGTAACCGGGACCCCTCCATCGCTTTGCTACACTATAAGCAGAGGGTCCCTCGCAGAGCTATCACGGTGTCCCGGAACCACTTCTATCTCTACCAATTTTAACATGAATACATCTTTAAATTTACTTTCATAGTGCTTCAGAAAACTGACGATAACAAAATCAGGGGATACACATTGGTGTTGCAGCTAAATATCTACGTCCAAAATGTAATTACACCATTCGATAGCTAAATTATCAAAGAATTCTTTACGTTGAGTGAGGACGCATCGCGCGCGGTGGAGCGAGCGCCGCCATTTTGTGGTCGTTTCGTTACGTATACGTACTCACGTAAAACATATGGCCGTGTCGACAACATAGTCACACTCCGATTTTTTTTATAGCATAAGTGTGAAAAACGAGTAGTCAGTCCAGCTGATGATACCATCATAAATGAGTGCTGTGGGTGTCGTAAGAGGCGACAGAGGGAAACAAATCAGGAGATGGACAGCAGTGTCTTGCTGATAACAAATAAAAATAAAAAAAACCGCGGTTGCTAACCCGCTTGCCAAATGTGTGGCAAATATAACTATGGCAAATATATCTCCTATGAGACAATTTGTGGGGATGACCTATTTTCTGCGGTGGACTTTGATAGGCTTTAACGGTAACGGTGGCCAAGACATCTAAATCTATCTTCTATTAAGAATAAAAATGCACATGCGTTATCCCTGAGGACTAAGCTGAAATGCCACGTTTCCAGTAAAAAGGGGTCTCTGGTGCTTTGCCACCATACGATACACAGTAGCATTAAACTGGTATTTTTCGCGAGCATCCCATGAGAGAGTGGTCGTTCCCCGGTACACTTATTTGTGCTACAGCCATAATATAGTGGCTCTACCTCGTATAAAAATTATTACGTGGATCAATTTGGTTGTTTCATCCAAATTGAAAAGCAAAAGTGAACAGTGTGTAATCGCGATAAGGGCGTGCTTTGCATTAGTTCATACGTGTGACTCGTATTGTTTGTCGCGGCGCAGAGGAGGTGGCTCGGGGGGGCGCTGGGGGCGCGTGGGGCGCGCGGCACTGGAGCGCGGAGCTGCTGGTGGACGCGGGCTGGGCGGGCGCGGGCCGCGAGCCGCCGCCGCGCCGCCACCACGCCTGGCGCTCCGCGCTGCTCGCCGTCGCGCTCGTCAAGTGCGCCACGCACGCCCCGCGCCACTGCAAGGTCACGCCACCACCAAAATCAATTACCTAACATCCGCGTAATAAAATAATATCATATGTCTTACCTACTTTGAAGAGCACCTGTCGCCCCCCCTCAATTGCGTGCACTATCCTTGTCACCACTAGCAACACTACTCCCAACACCACTACACTCATACGACACGTGTTTCGCCCATACACGAGACATTCTCAGGTGAAGCAGACAGGTGAATTTTCGCAAAGTAACGCCTAATTCTATTAATTAGCTAGCTTACGGACAACACACACTCACCAGCGGGGCTAACCAACTTTACTTTCAATAATTTCTAAGATTAATGGAAACCTGCGTATACTATTTACACCGATCGCCGACGCACCTTTATACCCAATAAGAAAAATGTTGTACGTTCTATGTCAATCCAAGTAATTCAAATATTCCAGTCTTTCAAAGGGAAAGCACTAGATCAATAAATTGTCCAATAAAGAAAAGGCTTTATGTATGTATGCATATTAAGGTTGTGTCTTGCAATAGTTTGAACATTGTCTTTTCTTACACCTGGCTATTACAACAATTCAAATGAATGGCAATGACAATGATATAACTTGTCACTCCCATGACTGACTTGACACTGGCAGAATTCTATCAAGAAAAGCCATAATTTAAAAGAAAAAGAAGAAGACAATGACATACCTTTATAGTTTTCTATCAGCGTTACCGATTGTAGAAATCAACTTTACTAAACCCTGTACTGCAGTAAATATCTAAGTACACTAACAAACTATACTAACTAACGAATTAAGCAGAATACGCCGCACTATCCTCATGAGGTAATAAGGTAATTTTGAGGATTTTACGTTTCCAATTTTTTTAATTTCTTAGACAAACAGGTTTCCTTACGTGTTTTATCAACAATTAAAATTGTGATCTAAAATTTCGTTTGTAATAGTGGTTGTTGGGCTCTTCGAATATTTTAAAGTAGCGCTTATTTATCTCCAAAACTGCTACAGTTCAAACTTTTATTCATTAATTAACGAATTTTTCGAACTTGCGGCTTGTTATAACAAATAGATTGTACTAACTAATTTGTACTAACGGTCTATTTAACTAAGGGTTTATACTAACTGAAGAGCTAATAGATTCGTTAAGAGCTCATCACTCATACCAGTACTGGATTGAAATATCCTTCGCATATTTTATTACTTAGACTGACATTCCCTAACGTAGTGAGTTGAAGTGGCTTGAACAGCTACATAGCCAAGGAGAAAGTTTCTCGAATGGCAATCTAGTACTAGTAAGGCCTCTTGCATTAGACGGAGTGACGACCTGATGAGGCACTGAAAAAGACGACTTGATTGATGAACATGACTCAGAACCGTGCTTTGTGACAAAGTTTGGGGAAGAGGTCTATGTTTAGCAGTGGACTTGTGTTATGATAAAAATTATTTATGAAACTAAAGCGTTTTAATAAATATTTTCAATACTATTAAAATTCAAAATGTATGTAAATATTATAGGTTGAAGCCATGATGGACTGTTTACGTCTTGAATGGAGTACACAAATAGCTGAAACTGTGATCTCAATAGTTGATTGTCTAAACGATTACAAGGCTCCCAACGAAGTGAAGCAACCTCAAGAACCGATAGCCTCTACGGCCAATATATCCGTTAATGTGGCCTTGTCACACATAAATCTGTTCCTAGTCGTGACTGATGAGATATGCTTGATGACGAGGATTGACGCGGTGACACTGGAGAAAACTGTAAACAAATCCGGAGCACTGGTGTCTGGTCTGAAAGTTGTCGAAATAGTTCCTTACAAAGGTATAGTATTATTTTAGACAACCTTACATAAGGAAGTTACTATTTCATAACGACATTTTCATATTTTTTTTAATTCCCAGGTAATGTGCAGTGCCAAAGATCAGACGAAATATCCTCCAATTTCTTCCACGTGCGTTTAGCTAGAATTGAACACGTGCCTTCGAAGGAGAGAAATTCAGCCCTCCTAGATTTTCAGTTCCTAGAAACAATAGACTTTGAATGGAGTGCCAACATGCATTTAAAAATATTAACATTTGTCAGAGCCGTGAAAGTCTTCCAAAAGGAATTAAAAGTTATAAAAATGGGTAAAATAAATATGGAAGATACAAATACAAAGAAAGGAAAGCCTCTAGACTGGAGGGTTTCTTTCAAAGGCGATACGAATCTTGTTCTCCTGTTGTCTGAAGAGAATCATATGGTTTTTGCAACGGGTATGTGTTTACTGACTAAAATTAAATTTAACCTTTTTATTCCTTATTCTACATACAGTCTACAGTAAGACCATAAGTCCTCGGAGCCTAGGACAGTTTTCTGTTGATTCTGTTGATTGTTTTTCTGAATGATCTGATATAAACCAGCGGGGTGTGCGGTGTTGGTTTTCTACAATCGTTATTAGAAAACCATAAAATAATAGAATATCAACATAAGTCATTAAGATTTTTTTATGAACTTTAGCGATTGTAGATAGTCAACCCACAGAGCTTGATTCAATGAAGAATTCAGGTCAATAAATGTTATATAAAATTAACAAAATAAATAATAAAGAAAAACTAAAATGATTTTATTTTATAATATCAGTTTTATAAGAATTATCATACAAATCTTATGTACTCATTCTCATATTCATTTCGGATTTCAGATGATATGACAATAGGCTATGAGCACGAAGCGGGGTTGTCGATTGCGTGGAGCCAGCTAAAGATGATACTGAACGGCGACGAGCTGGTGACTGTGCACGGCTACTGCATGGAGCGCGCCGCCGACGACCCAGATGTGCGCGTCGAGAGGAAGGCCAACGAGAGCTTCGTGCTGCCGTGGAATAAGGTTTGGTGCGTAATGGAGGCAAATGTCTTTTCAGATATCTCATTTATATTTTACTATGATTTATTATTTGCAATCATTCCTATAATAATAATATTTATAGTACCCGGCAATTAATAGTACACATTGATTTCTAGAAAAAGATAATTAATCGGCTAGCTTCAGCTTTATAGAGCGTCAAGGCTCGATCCCCAAGGGGCCGAGAAATGAGCCCTGAGACACGCCCATTTGTACCATCGACCCAGAAGAACTCTAACCGTTGATAACAACTTTTTGCGTTCTGTTACTTAACTATGAAATATTAAATTTAAAAGCATAACTTCTTATATCATAGTGTTATAGTTTCCTGATTAACATCTCATGGTGAACACAATCGGAGGCTTTGGATAAATCACAAAATATACCCAAATTATCGTGTGAATTCTCCAATGCGTTGAAACTTTGTTTAATCAGCTCAACACCAGCATCGGTTATCGCGCGAGCTCACAAAAAAAAAGAGCTAGCAATGCAGTTAGGATTATGTTCATTTGCTTTTTTTTACAGGGCTGTGAACGTAGATTCAGTTCGAGTTATTTTCCCATACAAACACCGCTTTGCAGAGGCAGTGCAAGGTGATTTCGTATCATTGTTTAAATGGTTGAAGATCGTGCACGATATTAAGAAAAAGCCCTTTACAGCCGACAGTCCATTACCAAGTGATTTGCATATTAAGGTAAAAAAAAAAATTACTTAAATAGAATGTACTAGAAATCAGACGAAAGCAGAAAGACAATTTTATTAAATTTATTATAATGATTTTTCTTTTTAGATTGAAGAGCTATTAATAGAAATGAGCGACGATCCGTTTGAAGTAAAACTCCGGGACAATTACGAATTGTTGGAGGACGAGTACAAGGAGAGCGAGAAGCGACGGACCATGCTTGATGCTAAGGTAGTATTGTCACTAAATTAGAAATGTTTATATCGTTAATATGGTTGGGAGTGAATTTAGATTGCACCTTATTTAATGTAACATATCGAAACGTAATGTTTAAGATTAATTTGTAATGCGGCATTTCTTTATTTACATTAAATTTATCCCATCAAAAAGATTGTTCGGATAGAATGATCTATATAAGAGCGAGCGTAAGTGTCAATGCGTATGCATGTGTGAGTCCGTGTAATATTTAAAATCATAATTTGTTGAATCAGTTGCAAATAAATCATCAAGTAGTAAACACGTCTCTCTGTTAACAAATCCCTATAAAATCAAAAGTGAACCTTAATACCAAGAACATATTGGTCGAAATCGAGCCGGATTTCAATTCGACTTACGACGTTCCTGCACCGCGCGGTAATACAAAAGGACGGGTCGAGCGACGAGCTTAGAACAAAAGAAGACGTTTGCGTAAACAAGTTTTTATGCACGTTTAATGCACCATATGGCATCGAGTTGTAGATTGGAAAGAAATAAGTTATTATAAGACGGAAATAAGAAGCATTCGAGATTATAGACGATTTTAAGATAATTTTAACAACTTATACCGAAAATGGCTAGTACACCGGAACAAATTCTAAATGTGTTAGAAGATACAGCTATATTGTTAGGAAAAACTCAAGCAAATTTAAAGAAATGTCCGAAACAACGCCTAACAAGGGGTTACATAGAAACACGTATAAAAAGCGTTGAAGAATACTGGTCTACGTATAAAAGGGCACATGAAGAACTAGTGAAGTGTGTTCCAAAACCGAAACGACAAGATATTCCGTATTTCGTTAATGAAGAATATTTTATTCAGGAAGATTTATATATTTGTATACTAGCCGATCTTAATGATTTATTATTTTCCCTTAACAAGTTATCGTCTTCAGCACCTATACAAGTCGATAATAATAATTCGGGTTCTTCTAATGAAGTGCATGTCAAGTTACCAAGGATTCAACTTCCAACTTTCTCGGGAATCTACGATGAGTGGCCTGCTTATCAAGATTTGTTTACATCATTAGTGCATAGTAACACATCATTAAGTAACGTACAAAGGTTGCATTATTTGAAAGGCAGTCTTACGGGAGAAGCCATGTCACTTTTGAAACACGTTCAAGTCATCGATGCTAATTATGAAGAGTCGTGGAACATGCTTAAAGAGCGTTTTGGCAACAAGCGGATTATCATTAATTCAATATTAAAAAGATTGTTTACGCAAAGAAAAATTAGTGTACAAACGGCAAGTAACCTCAAATCTATTTTGGATACTACAACTGAATGCCTGAATGCGTTAAAAAACCTTGGTCTGTCAACGAGCTCCTGGGACCCCCTCATTATATTTTTAGTTGTACATAAAGAAACACAATCTGTGCTTTAATTGTCTGGCCCCTGGTCACGCTGCGCGACGATGTCGCCTGAAGATGTCCTGTAGAACATGTCATAAACGTCATCACACGCTCACGCACCATTTCACGCCTATGACGTCATCAAGACAGCTAGACAGTTATAACAATCAAGACAAACAAAACGACGTTGAAGATCACCGAGCTTCTGCACAATCAGCCGAATCCAATGTCACACTAGTAGTGTAGTTGTACCACTTCTAGACCACCTGAGTCAGACGTGGTTCAACGACGTTCGTCGACACACGATCCTAAAAAAAAAAAAAAAATAAAAAAAAAAAAAAGGTTTTGGCATGCTCTGATCACGAATCCGCGGTCCATTTTTGTAGAATGCACGGTTCCGGAGATGTGTAGATCAATTAGCTAATATCTAATTGATATCCGGTAAGGGCCTCCACCGTCATTAGCGTCCCATTGTTCCTATTTCTATTGTTCTATTGTTCATTAATCACCTTCATTGCAGCGTGTGCGTCGACTATATCAGTGCTATTGTATTATACTTCTTTGTTCCTAATTATACAACGCTAATCTGAATCATCAATAAAACACATTACATAATTTTGTTACAATTTTTATTTATAAAATACAAAATCTTATTACTTATTATCTATAAAATAGGAGCGAAACATCTCATCCACTAAAATATCGTTGTACAATGTGTTCCTTGTAAATATACTCGTAAAACTATGTATTGAACATCCTTGAAACTTATATAGCAAATACATTAAGCAATATTCGCCACAAACTGAAGTCCACTCATTCTGAATCCTATCAACATTCCAGTTCCATCTTTTACAATTCCTTTTTAAAAACTCTAGATGATATCGTACAGGTGATCGTCCATATGAATCAAAATATTGGCCGACGTCATTCGTATCGATATATAAAGCTACCCAATGTGACCCTGGTTTATCATCTGTATCCAAATTACATATTATATACGTTGGTACGTGGGTATACATAGGCAGTCTATTAGCTGCATAAACATTATTTTCTAGACTGGGGTGAATCTTTTTCAGATGTTGTTGTACATCTAGTGTATCCATGATACTACTGCTATTAGTAGATTATTACAGTACCAATCTACTCAATGAATAACATAGGAATGGTCAATTATAGTGATTTCTAAATATTAAATTGCATTTTTGTGTTATACAAATCGTACTTGAGTCATTGATCACCAAACAAAACACAATACGAAGAAATGTTGAGATAGGCAACGGAAATGTGAGATAAACTGATATGTTTCTAAATATTAAATTGCATTTTTGTGTTATACAAATCGTACTTGAGTCATTGATCACCAAACAAAACACAATACGAAGAAATGTTGAGATAGACAACGGAAATGTGAGATAAACTGGTTGACGCATAAAGTAATTATCAACTCATTACGGAAATACTTTAGATTAGAATTTTTACGTACTGGTGGTATATAAGACCAACAGACGCAGTCATCGAGTTAGTGTACGGTCGTTTGACTACAGTGGATCTATCAATAGTACATTTGTGTTACTTCAATACACCAAAGGCTATGGATGTAAGTGTTTATTCTATTGACTAAATTACTTTTTTCTGTTATTTTCATGTGTGTGTATTATTTTATTTAAATATTGTGTATGTATATGATTAAGCCGTGGTAACTCAGATGGTTAGCGCTAGCTGTAAATTTCACAGTACGCGACCCGGGTTCGATCCCCGCCAGCACCAATTAAATTGTTAATCGCAATTTTAAGTGCTTATTACCACGTGCTTGGTGGTGAAGGAAAACATCGTGAGGAAACCTGCATGTCTGAGAAAATTTCGAAGGCATGTGAAGTTCGCCAACACACATTGAGGGAGCGCGGCGGACATTTCCTTGCTCTAAAACCCTCTCAGAAATGAGAGGAGGCCTATGTTCAGCAGTGGACTTTAATAGGCTGTAACTTTAACTTTTTTAACTTTTATGATTAAGTGTTAACAAATTGATATTAACATGATAACTGTGTTGTTGCAGAAATCATTGAGCTTCGATGAAGATACCTATAAACAGTATTTTACTACTCGCCACTCTCCCCTCAAGAAGAGAGTGATAACCTCGTCATTAATAATAACACATGCGATGGTGGAAAAAGAAAATCGCAATCGATTGATCATTTTTTTGAAGCTGAATCAAAAATAAAAAAGAGGAAGCTGTTATCATCAACCGTAGCACGAGCCGCTAGAGATGGTGTATCATACATTTCTACTAATTCTGACGACGGAGACCAAGCGACGCATCTCATCAAAATTGAAATGTACGATATGAAGAAGCTATCCAAGATTCCAACTACTGATCATTGGAAACATGCTTCCACGAGAATTAAATATTACGTAAAGACTAATAAGGATAGCATCTACGACAACACAAACGCCCTCGTATACAATATAACAAAGACAATAGCAGAAAGTGAAAAAGTTAAAAAATACTTTTTTAACAATGACAGTCATTAGCTGATCATTAGTGAATGTGATTCTGTTTACTTCAATTACAGGAAGACAAGAGCGGAAGGAAGAGATGAGTGTGGCATACGTGTACAAAACACATCATTGAATAACAAAACTACAACACTGAGTGGAGAAGAAAACGAGAAGAGTATGCAGTACTCAAGAGCTGAATATCCATTCTTCAGTTCAAAATCTAGCCGTTTGCTTAGTTTCGAAAACTGGCCTCTCGTTATGCGACAGAAACCTGAAGATCTTGCAGAAGCTGGTTTCTTTTATACTGGCCATGCAGACGGGACCAAGTGTTTCCATTGTGGTGGTGGTTTAAAAGATTAGGAAGATGATGATGATCCTTGGCAGCAGCATGTTCAGTGGTTTAGTCAGTGTGCTTATGTAAAATTTCAACTCGAACAGTGTTTTGTATTAGATTAAATAGAAGATTTATAAAGAAATAAAAAAAAAATATATTGCATACAATTTGTTTTATTTAATTTTATAACGTTTCACATAGTTACATACACACAAAATGCATTACACATAACACATAAAATCTAACACACAACACATATTATAACCTTAACTACTATAGTCTACAGTAACATTTCTGTTTTTATCTATCTCAATAATCGTATTATCAAACTCAGCATAAACTATACAGTTAATTGTTTGTATTAATGAGGATTCAAATCGTACTTCTATTCTTACACTACCATGCTTTATGAGATTCCAATGAGTTGATGAGTTAGCTGATAAATCAGGAGTTAAGTCAAATGCTAATAGACAGTAACCTTTGCCATACTGTTCACAAGAGATTCCATTTCCTTCATTAAGAAAGTGAATACCAGTTCCCGAGAATAGAGTATGATATGCTGATGTAAATATGCTATTATTAAAAGATGGTTGCAAAGCTTTTGAAGGTATTTGTTGACCATCAATATATAAGCTGAAAGAATTAATACCATAGTTTTCAAAGTTAAATGAATTTTTAGTAAGGGAACCATTAAATGCAGAATTGTTCACAAATCCAATTATACATCTTTTCGGTACCTGTCCTAAAAATATATTATCAAGAGTTTTTCCTTGAACACCCGAAGGAATTGT